GTACATCGGGAAACAATTTCCTACTCATTTCCAATTAGTATACTGCGTTCTTTAACGTGCACTCAGGCCATAATGCACACGGCACCAACAGGTTAAATGTCTCATCCGAAAGACAGCGCGCTATCGTAACTTGCATTTCTGCCCTCCAACTGAAATACAAGGAAGAGCAGTGATGGGAATTCAATACACTACCTCATTCCTAAAGCTCCTTCCAATTTCCATCTTAGAAATCTTAAAGAATTTATCCTCCAAAAGACTCCCTGTACAGGCGAATGCTTTGTTCATTTTTAAGTCAGTAATTAAAATAACTATAATAATCTCACTACAATAATTATAATAATAATAATAATAATAATAATAATAATAATAATAATAATTTTATTATTGGTTGCCTTTTTGCCCTTTAAACCTCGCTTCCTTTTGCTGTTATTGTGATGAGGGTCTATTTGTTGAAAAATGTTTAAATGTTGATTGTTTAGATTTTTCTGCTTGAACCCTTTACTTTTGTAAAATTCAACCCATTTTGAGTGATGGATAAACAATGATTTGATTTTATTTGAATCGGAGACCTAGAGATCCCCACGTTTTAGCGCACACAGAGGCTACCACCAGTTTAGGCAACTGAGCTAAGCTGCTCTGCTACCTGGTTATAAATCTATAAGGTACCATTCCAATATTTAATAATAGGCTCTATTACAGTAACACTATTAAAATTCAGAGACGGAAAAAATTTACTTTCGCCATAATATACTGTACAGTAAGCCTACGACTTCTGGATCACTTTTTCTTCAGGTCATCTAATATGCTTGAAAATATCAATATAAAGACGTTTGAGTAACAAAATTCATTGATCGTTTTTAATAAAGTGTTACTTTAATACCAAAAAATATGTTGCTCTGAAACATGATAAGGTCAATCTGAATAAAATGACCCGATCGTCCTGTAAGGTCCAATTGATGATGTTGCAGGCGTTTATCATCCGAATATCTGAATTATTAGTAGGCATTTAATGTATAATGTAAATTATTTTAATCGATTTCAACATGCTGTGTATAATATTTAATATTAGGCCTACTATGATGGATAACCATGTATTTTATTCTTTATTTACTGACATGTTTAAAGTCGGAGGCGGACTTTAAGGTGGGTAGTTATGCACCCGTCCGGGGCTCATACATTTTTTTTTATTAATTAAAAGAAATTATTTTGTCAAAAGCGGTTGTATTATTAGATTGCTCGGTAGTAGTAAGTAGGGCCCACCGCCTTTCAGGGACTCATTTGGACATGGAGGAAGTAAGCGTTTCCCTAGAAAGCACACATGCATTACATAACTGGTCAAACCGCCATAGTGGGGCATCCAGGGGCATAGTTTAAAGAACCCCTTCTAATAAATCTGCCAAATATTGTGTTTGTGGGATTTTGGTCTATTTGGTTTTTTCGGAAATTATAGAAAATGTTACGTATTGTTAAGGCGTTGTAGGAGAGTGCTGAGTATCAGTGTTACTGTAAGTAAAAGTATCTAACCCTCTCCAGGGCGCATTTGGACTCGGACTTGGACCCCCTCCTCCGCCATCCGAGAGCTCACGAGTTACGCAAATGGGTCCTGTTTATTTTATGATATGCCATAATTGGACTTTATGGGACAATACATGAAACACTACACCGTTTCTGATATATAAACTGCCATACATTATTCAGCATCGGAAGAGCTTTCCAACGATACCAAACACGACTACTTTTGGGTGAGTTTATATACTTATTCTTATTTTATACACATTAAAGTACTGTATATTTTGCGGATATTTTAAAACAAATAAACACCTATTTTTGAATTATGTTCCAATCTGGCATGAGTGACAGTAGTTTTTATATGTCTGGTTTGTTGCATGTATAGAAATTATGATTTTAGACACCAACATCATATCTGTAGCTTATTTAGTTCCAATTATATGCACATTTTAGATAAATTTGCCGGCCATTTTGAAAAATGGCCGCCATTTGTATACCAGGTGAAAAATTAAGTGTCAACAGGGCTTAGGGTGACCAGGGCGGATTAATTAGGATATCTGGCTATGTTGACTGCTTCTAACATTCCACTCCCCCTAACTTGATTTCTAGGCCTCTTTTTTGATTTATTTTCCTAGTCTAATTCGCTTGGAACTAAAATTCGTGCTACACCGGCAATCATTATTCATATCAGTTCTTCCTAACTGACCTAAAATAGCACCCTCTATAATTTCTGCTGGAACTGTATGGGGTAAAAATAATGCCGCCCGCCCCAACAACTTAAAAACTTTTAAAAATTTCGGAGTTTTAAATTAACTTAAGTTATAAAACAAGATCTCCCTATAGAGAGAACAAAACGCAACAACTCCAAATTAGGGGGTTGATTAAAAGCTCTAGAAAAAAGTCCAAAATCGGAGGGTTGATTAAAAGTTTTGTTTTAATGAAAAAATGAGCACTGCGTACAAATCTTATTAATTAATTTTATTAATATTATTCATATAGTAATAAATAGGCCTATGAGGCCAAGTAGGCCACAATATAAAAAGATATTGTGTAAAATATTTCTGAATATTTTCTTTTAGTTAATCCAGTTGTCAATTTGTGTAAGTAAATTTTATTTTTACTTACGGAATTGATACGTTTCGCCTCTTGCCAAAAGGCATCTTCAAAAGTGAAGGGATGACAGCTTGGAATTCCCGATCACGTTTCGGTTAATAGCGCCACCTACTTTTCGTTTGGGTTTACCAAAGATTTTAAAAACTTACTTGTCACTTAATTTTATTTCCTAGGTAGGCCTAGACCAGAAGCATTAAATGAGACTGCGAAAGATCTGTCATCTTCATAGGCCTACCAGTACCTCAAAATATCGAGTAAAGGCCGGCATGCCGACTAAAAGCCAAAATGAAGAAGCTACAGTCTACTATCATTGAATAAGCATGTGGTAATCAAATTGAGAGAATTCATAAAGCTAAAACCTGTATGAATACCAAAGCCTTAGATTTCTTTGCCGGTCAATAACGAATTGATAAGAAAAAAACCAAAAGGCTGTCGCTATTCAACCAAAGACCTCTCATGTTTTTTTAGCATCTAGCATAGGCCTATGTGCTGGAATAATTTTGGTAAATTTAGCATCATTTTGTCCTAAAAAGTAAAATATCTCAAACTGGTCTCGCACACACACAAAAAAAAGAATAAATAAATTAAATTTTTTTAAAAATTAAAATTGGTCATATTAAATTGAAACCCAACAAAATTGGATACCAGTACAATTATTTCATCCAAAAATCCTTGCTATTGTCAATATCTATTAGCTTATTACGCATACAACATCACATGGGCCAGAGGCAGGAAGCGCATTTCCGCGCATCATAAAATAAAAACTTTCCAGTCTGGTTTTTTTTTCGTTTTGCCTTTGTCCTGCACCTGGACTACAGAACTTTTTAATCCTCTGTCAAGTATGTTCCTGACCTGAACATTTTTTTAAGTGAACTGTATTATTATGTTATGCCATGAAACAACTGTTATTAAAATGGACCTATTTACCGAAACGTCATCCAAGCTGTCATCGCTTTACTTTTGACGATGCTTCTTGCGAAGAGGCAAAACATGTCAAGTCCGTAAGTAAAAATAACATACTTACACAAATTGACACCTGGATTAACTAAAAGAAAAAAGTGAGAAATATTTTATTGAATCCAGAATGAACTTAGATCCTCTAAATATTGCTTAAAATTAAAGAGAAAAACTTTTTGACAAGAAACACAGATCTTTTCAGTAATATTAGATCAAAATAAACGAACGTTTTAACATTCTAATTATTATTGCTATGTAAGATGTGTATAAGAGACAGGGCTTAGGGTGACCAGGGCGGATTAATTAGGGTATCTGGCTATGTTGACTGCTTCTAACATTCCACTCCACCCACTTGATTTCTAGGCC